TTTTTTATGATAGGGCATGTATATTTTTCAAAAAATCATATTAGTTTACAATATTATTTTTCGCATTTATATAATTTTTCTAACAATGCTCGTCAACGGGTTGTATTCCACGATGCAGTCGTGTATCATCAAGCAGTATGCAGCCGTCGAAGGTAGGACATCCTTTCGACATTCGAATTCGATTCGCACGTCGGTGGTTGCATTTTTCAGCGCTTCGTTTTGTCGCGAGCAATCGAAGACTACGAATGGTCCATACAGTAGAAAGTCGATTGTATTCAGTAACACCTCGCCGTCGTTTCCATAATAGGACTCTTGAAATTTTGCGTACATGTCGTAGAACAACGCGTATTTATCCTTTCCGAAATCGATGTTTAAATCGTCGTAGGGATACATTTCCGAGTACAAGTAAAGTCGAATATTGGATAAGAAACAGGAATCGAATTGGGTAGCGTTTTTCTTTAAATCATTTTTCCTTTCGGTTTGTAACGCGAATATCACGTATCGCGGTTTTTCCATTTGCGGAGCCGTTTTTATCGCCCACGTATGTTTCGTGGTTGTTTGCAGCATCGGATATTCGTACAGTTCCCACAAACGGAAACTCATGCTGATCGATCTTTCGCTCTCAAGAATACGCAGCATCGACAACTTGTGTATTTCGTCCAAAGCAACGTGTGGCATTCTCCACTGAATTTTATGCAAATTCAGGACAGGTTTCACATTGTCGGATCAGCTTCGTAGCGCGTTAGTGTCGTTGCGCGCGTGAATCAAAATCAATTCGTGCCGAGCATTTATTACAACACGTTTGTAATCTTCGCAGAAGCCTAGCAATGTGTTCATAGGCACGCAAAAGCTGAAATTTCGAAAATTCGTAGGCGTTGCGATGAGATTTTCCCTCCGTTGATCATCGTTTCTGTACATCCAGCCCGCGTTGTATAGCGCGTTGTTCTTCGTAATGTTTAGACTGATGTAATTCTTCAAGGTCGTCGTTGTACTGGGATTTCTGGA